GAGTCACATTTTTAAAAACTTCATCACTGACCATCAGAACACTGTTCTTTTGTTTTGTTGTAGAGTAGAAAGAAGTCACTTTGCAAGACCTTCTTGGACTTAGGGGCACTAAAATGACCACCGGTGTGAAAAGATGATGTTGAAGTGATGCTTTAATAATGGAATACATGTAAAATATTTAGAAATAGGTTAGTCCTGTATACTAATGCTCAGTCTGTGTTCCACTCTCACATCTGGCTGCCTGCCAGGCATATACAGTAAAATCTTGATCCTGAATAGAGGATAAAAGGTGCAGCTGTGGGAGCAGCAGGCAGTCAGACAAAAGTAAATGGAGTCATTCTCCAAATCAAGGCCAACTCATTGGTCCGCTGCAGTTGTAACCCAATTATTCCCAGGCCACATGTTTTCAAAAAAGGGGTGTAAGGAAGAGGGGAAAGCCCTCCTTTTTTCTCCTGCAGTCACCCCATAAAACACAGAGGGTAGAGAAGCAAGGAGAGAAAGTTGGGACATCTTAAACATTATTCCGCATGACCTAAGGAAAAAGTCAGTATCCGATATTGTCTGTGGGTAAATGCTGGCATGTAGTCATTTTTCCCATCTGCGCACTCCACTAATGCCTGCTCTATTTAAGTGGTTCATGTCGAGGTAACTTGTTAATGAGTATCTGGTAGAAATTAATTTATTCCTTGTTCAGATGTAGCTATATACTCTACTGAGAATAAGCATATTTAATAATAATGTGAGTGGATTTTCAAAATAGACATCAAAATAGCTCAAGGAGAAAACACATCTTTAATCATCCAGACAAGGAAAAGCAACAGTAGATAAATTGAGGTATCTCTTCTCGGGAAGGTGTGGAAATTCATAAGGTGGACGTGGTGAAACGTCAAGAGCGGTTACACCAGGAGGCTTTTCTGGGGGACACATGAAAAGGCCACTTCATCATCCAGGGAAGAACAGTCATATTTTGGATCTGGATGCAGGACCTTATGAGTGTACTTTGACTGAGGCCAGGCATCAGCAGGTGGAGAACTTGGAGGCAGCGGAACCTCATGAAGCAGTGGGCTGATACACCTTGAATCACTGTATTCGGCACACACAGGGGACGGTGGAGGACTTGGAGGCAGTGGAACCTCATGAGGCAGTGGCCTAATACGCCTTGAATCAGTGTATTCGGCACACACAGGGGAAGGTGGAGGACTTGGAGGCAGTGGAACCTCATGAGGCAGTGGGCTGATACACCTTGAATCA